GAAAAAAAAACTAATAACAGTCAAAACTAGAAAAGGGAAAATAGAAGATAAAGAGGAAAAATGTATTTGTGCACATCCTTGCATACATACAGAAACAAACTTACCTGAAGCTTTGTCCGGAAAACTGCTGGAGCAATGCGAGACTCTTCAGCATCTTTCTCAAGCTTCATAATCTCATCAGTTTGAAATAGAGAACCATTTGGGATTGCATACACACACCTCTGCATGTTCTTAACAACCACACAGCAACTATGATATGTGTTTCCTGCTTTGACCTTAAGAAAAAAGATATATGACAATCACAGGGGTCATTGTTTGTTTATGAATTTACACCAATAACAACTAAAACAGTTAACCAGTTATATAGCATGCCAAGACACAAAGAAGTATACACTCTGCAATTAGAATAAAATTTATCTAATCAAAAAAGAAATAGAATATTAGAATCAATGTCCTGGACACACTCCTAAAGCAGCCATTATTATTACATTCATCTTCAAATAGTAGAAACTTTTGAAGGGCAGCTGATAAACTAAAGACCTACCGTACTTTGCTAAAGTATGGGCTGGCTGGAGCATTGACAATTGTTTAGAGCACTATAAAGAGTAATGATCATGCCAAAAGAGAAAGATTAATGTAATCACATCGTTTTGGGTCATAACAGAAGGAAATGGCAACTTGAGATCCAAAGGAATATGTATGAAGCCCTATACAGAGAGGGACGGAAATAAATAATTCATGTAATCAACCTAAAGCCTTCAATTAAACCTAACTGACTTGAGTTCTCAAATTTGTTAGTCTTGTTTATCTATGCACAGGTAACTGATATGGTCAAGGACAGTCAGAAATTTGCTGACAATAACCTGTGACGTGAATAAGCAAATGAAAATACATTACAACACCGTCTTCCCTCATGCCACCAATTCGTCTAATTACTACCAAAAATATGCAAAGTAGAGTAAGCATAACATTTAAAAATAAATCAGAGATGTTCTACAAATAATGCAATTGACAACAAAACCTAGCAAAATTATCATATTACCTTCCCAAAGAGATAGACAGTTCCCATATTGGCACCAGAAAACTGCTCATGGGCATCAACAATGTAAAACGGCAACGATCCATCTGCATCCACCTCAAATTCTGACAGCTCTTCACTGTTTGAGCCATTTTTCATATCATCAGCTGCCCCATTACCACTAATAACGGCCTTCCACCCAGCACTAGCACTCAATGCTGGATCCTTCTCCTCGTTACTAATCTTTGCATTCAGTTTACGAGTCTCCTCCTTCACTTCCTCTTTCAATTCAATCACATCCTTCTTAATCAGTTCCGTACTCACACCAGACACTGGTATCGAATCTTTCAATTCATCGATTAAACACTTTTCCTCATTCACATCACAAACTACCGCATAAGCATTTTGATTTACTACCGAATCCATCACCAAATCACAATTTTCCTTCGGTACTGAATTTAACGAATTAGTGACAAATTGATGCTCACTTTGAACAGAATTAACCGAAAGAAAACTCTTATTATTACTTAAAACTGAAACTGGCTGCGACCTTCTACGCCTCTCTCGATCCGCATCATCTGGCGCGAATTCCGCTAAAACTTCATCAACAACACTCTCACTTTCCTTTACTTTATCATCCTTGGATTTTCTAAACATCGCCGTTGACGTTAACATCGCTGATAATCTCTGTTTCCCCATCATTGCCGCTGCGGCCGTCAGCGAAGGGTTCGACTTCTTTACATGTTGATTATTTTCTTTCTTTTCTTTTTTTTCAACTCTCTTCCTCTTAAACGATTTGTGGCCGTCCAATGATTCGTCATCCGACGAAGAAGGGATTCCGGCGGTGGACCAGTCTTCTTCTTGGCCTTCGTCGCCGTAGCCGAGGCCGTCATCGTCTACAATAAAACCTCGCGCCTCCTCCTTGCGACGCGCCACCAGCGCATCATACTCGTCGTCTTCCACGGTGTCGTATATCGGGGTCTCTAGTTTGATGTCGTATCCTCCTGATTCTCCAGATCTGCGTCCGCCACGCCGGAGCGCCTTGAGCCGTTCCAAGGCCTGAACTCGGGCCGTCGCTTCGGCTCCTCGGCCCCGGCGCCGGCCAGCTGCTGTCGGTTGCTCGTCCGCCATCTGGATCTCTTACTAGATAGGATTGTTTCCTCTCCTTTTCACTGATTTTCTCTCTATAGGGTTTTGATAAGCGAAAGAGGGCAAACGGCCTTGATTTTATAAATGGCGGGAATTTTTGTCCATTTTGGCGCTAATGAAAAAAGTATAAACCGGTGAAAAGCATATGAAATTTTCCTTTCGCGTTAGATTCAACACGTGTAATGGGTCACTCATTGTGAATTCTTGATTGTTAGAGTTGTAATTCAAAAATAATTTTTAAAAACAAAAATTTAAACAATTTTGAATATTAATATTAGTAAATATTTAACAATTTGTTTAGTACCATATTTAAAAATTGTCTTCAAATTTTAATTTGTGAAGACAATTATTAATTGTCTTTTAAATTTACACTAACTTTTAAGATTGTATTTAAAAACCCTTTTTAGAATTAACTAAACTTATTTTAACAACATATTTTTAAAAGATTTGCTATATTTATTATTTTAAAAAATAATATATTTAAATTTATATCAAATGAGTCCAAAATTTTTAAGGATGTTGGATATTTGTCTAAGGTTTTCTAAATTTTTCCTTTGTAAAATGTGTGTTGTTATTAGTACATAAATTTTGTTTTCGACAAAATTAAGAAACATAGGCCCTGTTAATATATAATAATAACATCGCTCCTGTTTTTCATTATTTTTCCCTCTTAAAATTTGTGATAAGTGTTTGTATATAAATTTTATGTTTTTATTTTCACAAACAAAGAATTTAAGAGTAAAGAGAGAGAAAACATCCAGCCAAAAATATAAAAACTTAATTTAAAATCAATATTTTATAACAAAATTGCAAATGAGAATAAAATAATGATATATTTAAAACAAATTCTTTGAGACAGATAAATAATAGTAATTTGAAGAGGTCGTATTTTTCATTTTTATGTTTTTAAAATATCATTTGCAAACAACCATGCCAAACGCCTTTTAGTTGTTAACATCTTCCAATCATTTTCGATTTATCAAATAAAACATAAAACTTTCACGGGATTCATAAAATACCACACCCATATATTATCATTTGTCTTTAAAAATTATAATAACTTTGCATATACAAAGTTGAGATCTCAGCGGTTATGATTGATTAAGTGTCAATGGTATATTAACAAATTAATGACTTTTTCCCATCCAAATAATGTCTTAATGATAAATTCTCATTCACGGACTTTTAAAATATTATTTTATTATCTAAATTTATATTCTGTTTATTAATCAAAATATTCAGCAGCAAACGGAAAGCAAACTTGGTTTCGATTGTTAGGGATTTTGAAGAGGTGAGACCGATGAATCTTTTGGTGGTGACAGGTTGGATTTTGGTGATCGCGATTGATCAGAATTTGACTTGAGAGTTAGGATGGGCAGTTACGCAAACCTTAATTTCTCGATTGCCCGCGATTAGCAGGATCTATAGGAGCAAGGTTTAAAGGGTTTTGATAAGTGATGATTAGGGTTGCAAACGAACCGAACAGTTCGCAAACAACTCAATGTTCGTTCAATAACTGTTCGACACTGTTTCGTGAACAGTTCGATGTTTGTTCGATAATATGTTCGATCGAGTTCGAACATGGGCTGTTCATTCGATTATGTTCGCGAATATTATGCATTCGACTTATCCATCCGTTCACGAACAATCTGTTCGATTGTTCGTTCGTTTATGTTCGAAAAACATGGTATGCATTATTATAATTTATATTTTTTTTCTTTTTTATATTATGTTTGGTTTAGTTTGGATGAATTTTTTTTAATGATAATCAATAATAACATATTATGGTGCTTTTGTTTTTCTTATATATATAATATGTTTGGATTTTTTTTTTTCAGATGTCAGTAATAATTAAATATATAAGTATATAGCATTTTAATTAAAAAGTAATAAATTAGTATAATACATAGCATGACAAATTTAATAATATAATAAATTGTATAATCAAGCAGTAGCGGATCCAAAAATTTCTGCTAAGGTGGGCCGAAGTAAAAATTAATTATACATTAATACTTTTGTCCATTAATATTTTTGTTAGGGTGGGCCAAAATATATAAATTATACATATTAATATTTAAATAAAAAAATTAAGGGCCCACCCAAAAAGTGGCTGGATCCGCTCCTGTAATCAAGTGATATATAATATAGTAGATCCAATAACATAATAGCTTCATATTTTTCTAAATGTAATCAATAATTAAATATTATAAGATAGTATTTCAATTAATAAATATTATATAATCATATATAGCATAACAAATTTAACAATATAATAGTTTAATTAAATATAATATGGTAAATTGATGAACATAATATATTATACAATTAAGTGATATATAGCATGATAGATTTAATATTATAATAGCTTAATTAGATATAATATGGCAAATTTATGAACATAACATATTATATAATCAAGTGATATATAGCACAACAAATTTAATAGCATAATAGCTTAATTAAACATAAATTAATCACACATTTGTATTGATCATATATTACAACAAACCGTCGTACCATTATGAATTTATAGGTGTTAATATATATATATATATATATATATATATATTATATTATATATATTATATATATTATATATATATATATATATATAAAATACCTATAATTTTAATAATTTAAATACATATTTAACCTATGATTAATATATGTATGATAATAATTATGTATTACACAATTACACATTATATATATATAACAAATTAATCACACATATATAGTGATCATACATTACAATAGACCCTCCATTCTACTATGAATTTATGGGTATTGATACAAATAATATGTAAATTTTTAAAATATTTATGATAATTTATGTAATGATAATAAATATAGAAACCCATAATTTTGGTAATTCAATACATATTAAACATATTTAATCTATAATTAATAATAATGACATAATTTTGTATATATACATTGCACATTTTACACACACACCACACACACACACACACACCACACACATATATAATATATATATATATATCTATATATATATATATATATATATAAACCCAATTTTACATTTTCCTTTACCATGCCCAGCCCAAATTTTAAAACAAAAATCCAAAGTCCAAACCCAATTTCACACTTTCCCTTACTTGGCCCAAAATCCAAATTTGTATTTACGAGTTAGTCGAACGATCACGAACTGGTCGTTTTGTTAATCGAACAAGCATGAATAGTCATCTTGTGTTCATTCGAGTTCGAACACGAAATCGAACACACCTTCTTGCTTATCGAACGAGTTTCGAAAGGGGTTGTTCGTTGGTGTTCAATTCAATTGCAAGCCTAGTGATGATCAGAGAAGAATGGTGGTGATGTGGGATAGCAATGCCATCAGAATTGGTAGGTGAGCACACTCCCATTATTATTTGGATAATAAACTGCTATTTTAAAAGTTGGGTGAAAAAATGTTATTAAACAATTATTTGGGTGAAGACAAGTCGTTTACTCTATACTAATCAAAAGAAAATAATAATTTTACCTACAATTAATGCAGGACTAATTTATCATCTAGCACATAGGTATTTGGGATGGCAAGAAAATGAAAGCATTGGCATTCCCTTCACTTAAGATTTATTTCTGACCTCCATCATGTTTTGTCTTTTTTAACTTATTTGAGCGGGTCGGGTACGACAAATATCCACATAAAAGTTATGTCCTTCCCCAAATAAAATTTTAGTAGTTTGAATATATTAATGGTGATTTTTATTTAGAACACTAATTTTATATGCGAAATAATTATTTAAAAAAATATACTTTTGTTGTACATTTTATTTGATGTATTTAATGTTTCATGAGGGGTTATTACAGTTTCCCTAAATGACAATTGGACCAATAAAGTTGGACAAGAAATTAGAATTTATTTTTAATGTTAATTTAAATAATTTTTAAACTATAATTAAATTTGTGTTACCATAGTGTTATTTTTTTTAACTGATTTATGTGTATCTCAAGTAATCCTCGAAATTCACACCTTAACTAATCCTTGGGATCCAATGAATACTCTACAAACTCAAATAATCAAATAAATTACAATGTTATGGTGGTAGATAACCTCGAGATTCGAATCAAAAAATTTAAGAAAATAAACAAACCTTCTTGATCATTAGGTCAATCTCTTGGGGTTAATGTCTTCCATTTTCATTTATTTACAAAGTGTTTAGTAATATTTTTCCAAAAAAATATAATTTTTATTTATTTAAAGTTATATTATGAAGGAAACAATAAAAAGTTATGTTAATTCGATAAATAAATAAACAATTAAATTTTAATTTGACGGTGATAAAAGAGGCATGGTGCGAAGACAGTATGGTTCCAATTTAATGCGTAACTAACACAAAAGTGAGGACTGAGCCGACAATAATCTTCTCTTTATTACTTCTTTTTCTTTAATGATGGGAATCTTATAATCAATTACTTGCTAATTCAAGAATTCTCAAACAAATAGAATATACATCAAGTAAATACAAGATAAACGTTTGATTTCAAAAAAATATAATTTCAATCCTTTTTTCCTTTTTTTTTTTTTTTAATATGAAGTTTATACGTATCTCAACTAATTCCTCAAAACCCTAAAACTATCGGTAGGATAAAAACTCCAATAATTATCTCATTAATATAATTTCAATATTCAGTGTCTTATTATTGTTGAGATTTACTGAAACTTTTGTAATATTTTATTTTTGTTAGTGACATAATTAAGATTATTTGACATCTTCTTCATTTTTCACAACAGCATCAATAAAACTTTTCTTTGAATTGTTGCTTCTTTGATCACAAGATATCCAATCAATTCAAAACATTGATTTTTGGTATGATCCTTTATTGCAGTGAGTGCACAACATGAATTATTTTAGAAATACATTTAAAATTGAATAAAACATAAAATAATGTATGAACATTGTCAGTGCAGTTTAATAATTAACAAACAATATTATGATTATTAGTACTCAAAT